AGGTTGCGGTGCCTGTAAGTCATACCTCAGCTTTTCCTCCTCCTAAACGACACGGACAGCTGAGACACGCAGATGATTATGGGCCAATTAAAGTTGCGAATTTTCTGGGGATCAATAAAAGTCTAGACGTAAAGGTTATCCAAACTAAAGTTGGATCAAACTCGAAATACGTTGTTCACAAGATTTCAACTAAAGGTAGCTTATCGTTGTGTGGTCATTTTTGGTCAGTTGATCGGTTAATTTGGAGCTCCACGCTGCTGTCCTTTGAGAGTTTTGTCAGAAGTTGGTTCTAGATAAGAACAACCAATGGTCTACACATAACTGAAAAAGTCCACCGTTAACTATTCTTTGAAAGGAGGGGTGCCAATACCTCATGGGCAGGCTCCTGATTCGCTCTATTTTTTCCTACTCACTCGAAAAAGTTCGCCCTTCAGTTAAAATATATCGGAGATTAACGCAACCACGACAGTTAGTGCGTCTGTCGAAGAACGTATCCTTTTGTGCCCTGGAACTGCAGTTATTTGGCGTAAAGTTAACATTTTTTAGCTCCGCTTCCCTTCCGAACACGAATTGACCATGAAGCCCCATTGCCCATTCACAGTTGTTGACTCTAATCTAGTTGGTCATTAAGGATTCAGTTTTTTGTTCAGTACAATACTCAGTCCGCACTCATCTAAAAGGTGACTTTTATCATCTACTATGCGGAGAAAATACCTCCAGGACAAACCCGGGGCACTTCAGAGACTTCTGGTACTAGGATTCCGAATTCGCGTCTCCGATACGCATCATATATTTGTCTCCAAAAAGTTCATTTTACGCACTAGATGAGCTTGTTCATCATACCGAAGGTTCACAGGTTCAGAGGTTGAGGAGTATTCGGTCCGCAATTTCTTCGATGGTGTACTATTTACAACGCTATTATGGAATTCTTTTTAGTTTGTTTGTTCATCAAAGCCAACAGACGGGCACTACTCGGGAGCCCAGCAAATGAACAGAAAAATGATTGGAGTTCTCAACGATAGCTTTTAGGTCCTACGTTAACCGGACTGCAAGGCTATGGGTGAAGCGAAGTGAGGGCCTATCTACTTGAATTGTTAATCTTTCTATATGTTTCTTGAGTGAGACACCAGCTGGAGTCTTGTGGTTCTTCCAGTTATCTAAGGAAATTTCAAACCTGAGGTACTAGACCTAAGAAAAAACAACAGCATAGGGAAAAATATAAATGAATTTGGGAAAAAAGTTTTACCTGTTTCTGTGGTTCCCAAATTTGATTTAATCATTTTGTGAGGGGAAATAGGGGGATCGGAAACTATTGAGGATAGGTGTCTTCTCTCCGTCAACCAAGTGGCATTTTATTTTTTCCAGTTATTCATTTGCATTAAACGTGTGTGCATGTGTGTGTATGTATGTATGTATTGATGTATATATGCATGTATAGATGGATGGATTTAATTGTTATGAATGCATTTTACTAAAATCCGCGACACAGATTTGGCCAAAATCGTAGAACTAAAGATAAAGAGGACTGATCGTTACTACCGTTTATTCAACCAAATCAGGCGTGGCGTCATTCTCTTGCAACCAATATTCATTACCCACGGGCAGGTAAGAATTGCGAAATGGTTCGCAGACCTGTTACATATGTCTAATGAGGTTCTTTAATTTTAGAGAATCAATTTTCGTCTACATTGGTAATCGGATTACGCAACGCATATTTTTTTATCGACGTCTAAGTGTGATGAACGGCAGACGAGGAGACCCCATAGTCACGAGAACCTGCTATTCAGTAGTAGAAACCGGCAAAATAAGCCCCGGGACTTGGTGTGAAGAAACACATAAGGCCCCGATAAGTTAGGCTTGTTATTGAACCGGACGACAGCAAAACTGCCTACCACCAAAGTCGGGTGGCGGTGGCGGGGCTCAAACCTCGGACCATGGGGTCCAAAACACGCCGGTGACAGCGACTAAACCACTGCGCAACCACCACAAACTGGGGCTCGTGCATCCACTCATTATTCCTCTAACACCATTCTTTATGAATTCTCCATCTTCCGCCTGAATTTGATTTCAACATTCCAATCTTCATCTTGCTGTTTTATCCAAATGGGGCACCAAAAGATAGCAACCAAAGCCGACGCACGAAAGTGCATGGTTAATGAGTGTAAATATCAACTGAGCTGAACCATATTCTTCCACTTCTAGATCTGCATATTACCACGTTCAACAATTATTCGTCAGTTTATTGCAGACAAAAAGGCAGGTTTTCTGTTCATCAGATCTGTCACCGTTTGTAACAACGGAGGATTCCCAGACCATGCATTTCATTCGCGTGTAATTTCGCTTTTGTTGTAGTTTCTGTTTATGCAGCCATTAGCGATGCGCTTTCGTACTGTCGTTTTTTACCCCGTCTGGTAATTTAAAATCGAGAGATTTACACTTTTTCACAATTATTTGTTTTCTAGTCAAAGAATATCTCTGGATATTAAATGATCACATTTTGTTTTCGTGAAAAGTGAACCTTATGGTATTTCGCACCCGAGGATGTCAATAAAAATCGATCACATGAAGCGACGCTTTTAGTTTTCAGCCCTTTTGGCTAGAGCGAATCAGTCCTGAATGCACTTGCTATCCTTTTCTTAGTTTACATTATCCCCGAATTTGGAATTGCGCTTATTCAGAGCTTCATTTCAACTTGCAGCTGCGGGGTTCCGTGCCGTTGTACTGGAGCCAACGACCGAATCTCCGCTATAAGCCAAAAGTTCTATTGGGTGGTAGCCAACTGTCTGTGTTTTCTGGAGTGAACGAAATGGGTTTGGGACCCGGTGTGCGAGTGGACGAACTCGGTCTAGCTAACGCGCAATCAGCCATCACGCGTGCACACTTTAACCAGCTTGTTTACACTTACGGATACGGTCGACAGGTTGTCGTGAACCTGTTGGACGAAAAAGGCTTGGAACGTCCTTTGAATCGGGCTTATGCGACTGCCACCACGGATTTGGATGAGAACGAAGTGAAGTGAGTTGAACCTTCCTGTGTCGCCAGGTAGCAACCTTAACTACACTCCCCATTCTCAGTTTGGGGACGTTGGAAAAAATGATTTAGTGTTCGTGTATTCACTACTCGCCGTAACTTTGTAACTTGATGTCCCGGTTTTGTTTTGTGTCGTTTGACTTCTCTTCAATACAGCCAAAAATATAGGCACTGAACAAAACCTTAGTATGATACTAAAAACGCGACATAGAATGTAAATGGATTAGGTTTTGTGTGTATATGCATGCTTAGAAACACAGCATCTGTGCCCAAACGCCGACAGTTTGAATTTATCATGGATTACGATCATTTCCAGTGCTTGATCCATTCATGGTTGATGGGATATCACAGTGACGCTCCGGATGTCCGTATTCGGCCAACTTCCAACTAATCGTGTTTGCCTATGTGATGACACTTCTTGCGAAATCCATCCGCGAATCTTCCATCAGTGTTTGCCGCTAACTCTCCAACTGTTCAGAAAAGCTTTAAACTTCCCTA